GGTACATAGCTCTGCTGGGTAATTCTTTCCCATGTCTGTGGGCAAATAAAATACAATTTCCCCCTCCTTTCCATTATGGGAATAAAAAGGAAACATTAAGAGTTTAAAAATATATATACATATCTCTGATTTTCTGTAGGTAAAGATTGTTAATAGTGTCTCATGTACTTCAAATGTGTAATTATTTGATTCAGATGCCTTCTTATTTTCAGAAATTCATTTGAGCAATTTGTGTTCTTTTCTGCCAAAGATTTCATTAGATTCACAAATAGAACAATATAACATTGTTAAACAAGGCATGGTAATCTTTTTCAATCCCACTGTGGAACAATGTATAAAAAAAGCAAATTATTTCTAAGCACTTCCAGGGTGCCACTATTCTCCGTTTGACCCATGTTAAATATTCTCATTACAATTATACTTCAAATGAATACAAAATCTCAATTTAATCCCAACCCTAGGGAAATGAAATGTACCGCTCTGAGATGAAAGGCCTAATGTTACCTAGTTATTTGAATGCACTGCATGTTCTTAACATGGATCATAAGTGAACTGTATTTCAATAACTCAAATCACTGCACATTCAAAACAATATCTAGCTACCAAATAAATGTCATAAACCTCATAACGCAGGAGAAATAAACAGAAACCTGCATATTTTAACTATTGAGTTCATGATGGTGTCCCACATGGTTTATGTCGATATTTTTCAAAACACCTAGCTTTCTTTTAAACCATAACTGATTATATTAATTAATCAGTAGGAGATCGTTGACAATGAAATTGAGGGCACAGCTTTTTGATAATCTAACAGCACAATTTTTGTTAATATCAGCCGTCAGTTTGTACCTTTCAAAATTCTGCTTTTGCATTGATTGTCAGACTCTTGAGTAGTCTTTTGGTGAAATTTCTACGTTTATGTTTTTCAAAAAGGAGGCCTGATTTCAATTAACATTTCCTTGACAAGGTATAACAATATTGTACATCTAAATTTTTATTTATTTTCCCTTTTATTGTTGGCAGTCTCCTAAGCTTGAAAACATTTTTCTTCTCTCTGATTTGACATTTGGCAAACATCAATCTTTCCTGTACTTAAACGCACCATAATTGACAGGCTGCTTTTGTTCAAGAACTTCAGCGTATATGCTGCCTCAGTATGCCAAAATTTATTTCTTTATTCACTGGCATGATCAGTTACTATCATCCTGTCTTCAGAAATTAAGTGGGCTGCCTGGAAAAAAATGTTCTTCTGATAAATTTGATTCAATCAAAGTGCAAATGACTCAGGACTACATGTAGAAATTTATTATTGAGCACCTTTATTTTATTTCCTCTGTAAGAGCATTTCATCTTTAAAGAATAGTTGGATAAGTATTCTGGTGCTCTTAAAATATTATTTTAAAAATTTACTTCCACACAGGCCTTGCTTATTTAAAACATAATTGTAATGTCTTTTGTCTCTAAATAACTTGGGGTCAAATGAAATGACTGGAATCCAAATTAAATTTTGAGGTTTAGTCTTCATGTCTTACTTTTAAGAAGGCATAATCTTTTTGGTGGGGAGGAAATGGGTCATACCCAAAACTCTGGATAAGAACTTTCATGAGAAAAACCTCTAGCAAAATTAGTGAAGAGAATTATTCAAAGATACAAAATTTAAAATAAGAGAGAAGTAAAATCTTCTTAAATAACAGTAACCATATAATAATATAACTACACTGAAGTATTGCCTGAGAGGAACTTTTCCTGTTTGGTGACTCAAAGTAATAGGTGATCTGTCTGTCTGTCTTTAATTCTTTGTCTCTCAGGGCCTGAAAGAGTGTTAAAGGAGAGAGGGGAGCAGGAGAGAGACAAACACTGATAATGAGCAAATTGAGAAAAAAAATCAAGTAAGGTTAAAGGGTGGAAATATGATACAAAGTTCAGATTAAAAATTATTCCCAAATTTTACTGGGAAGCACTCATATATATTTATTCCACAAATAAAGGAAAAAGAAGACTTTAGTGACAACAAAATATTCATGTCTTTTACTTTACTTAGACTTTGATTTTTTTTAAAAAAAGGAATAGTAAATATATGCAGACTATTTCAAATGCCATATCACTTCGTTTAGTGCTAGTCTTTTTCTTGGATTATTATTGGTCCTGAGATTTCTATCAGAATATTATCTGTGCCATTTAAATCAGTGCTTCAGAAGTTGTCCTATCGTGTTGGAGAAATCTGGAGTCAGCAGGGTGTGTTTAGTCCATTCGTACTTGCCAGGGCAGTAGGAATGCAAGTATTTTGCCCTAAATCATACAGAGTCTGAACGAGATGTCTCTGGATAGGCCTACATTATCTTGTCCTCTTGGCCCACTGAACACTATTAGGTATTTTGACTAAATAAAGCTTGGTCAACTTAGTATTCCAATATAATTACATAGTCAATTTCTCTAAGAAATTTTTTTTAAAGTTGGATCCTATCAAAATTTAGTATAAAGTTTCTATTTCATTAGTGGGATCACACTATCATTTTGAAAGCATATAACCAGACTCTTTATATTTCCAGTTGTCTTTGTCGATGGCATCACCCTACCTTGTTTATCAGTATCTCAATCAACAAACAAATTTGACCTGTGCCAGGCAGTGAGCTAGATACTGGGAATTTAGTGCTGTTAGTCAGTAATGAAGGTAACTTGATAAATTCATAATTTAAATGCAAAAGCCTTTAGATTTTAGTATCTCTGTAATTTTTGTACAACAGCAAATTAACAAATTAAAAAAAAAACACTGTTGGGCAATGTGTTCTAAGTTTTAGTTTGGGGAAAAAGGTCACTATTCAAGGAATTATCACTACTTCCTAAGTAAAATAGTAAGTAACCTGGAGGTTAATAGCAGGGAGCTTCCAGCAGTGCTTAAACACATAGTAGGCTTTCAATAATAGGGATTGATAATATTTTAAAAATAAAACAATGGCAACAGAACTTTTAGAATGACTCAATCTATCACGTTTAACTTAGCAATTGCAAAAGTAAGGCATTCAGTATGCATTAAAGCAATACAAAAATATTAAATATAAAAGTAGTGAAGACCTCTTTCTCACTAGATTTCATTTATTTCTAGCAGCACAAATGTGATTCTGGAATGATGTCAAACATTTAGGAGGATGGTCCATTAATGATACTATACCAGCAGTAATCCTTCCTAGAATGACCCAATTTCAAATTGAGGAAATAAAATATAACCAGAACCTGAATTACATCATTATGTCCTTATGTCCACAGTTATATTACAACATAATTTAAGGCAGTCTCTCACGGGTAAAAACTTATGCAAGATGCAAATGTAAAGGAAAGATTCTTTAAGACTCCCTCTTCCCTCTGACCTCCCATGGGACAAAGGTGATATTGGGAGAGAACCATTATGGAATTTTCACTTTGTTCGCTTCTGGCATCCTCTCTTTATATACTGTCTGCTCCAAAGATTGTTTTTAAGCTTTAAAATCCTCAAGCCCAAACTGATAGCTTGGTCAGAAATCAGATAAGTAAACACAAAAGCTTAGAAAAAGAAATGCCCATCATATAAAATAAAGTATTGACTGAAAGGTAATTAATGCTACAATTCACACATTGATATGATTAAATGGATACGTGGTAACTGAATAACCTAATTTGCCAGCTACTGTAGAAATTAAAGTATTAAAATTCAGAAGTCAGAGTCCCTGTGATATCATTATACAATAAATATTTGGAATATTTCCATCTATCAATAATGCCATCTGTCCCCTCCAATACAAATGGACTACAACCCATATGGCTCCTTTCCCCATTGATTACTCTGATGAATGAGATAGCAAAACCACTCATAAAACCATCATATTATATGACACTGTCATTAAAAAGATATGGAGAAAGGAAAAACACAAGATGATACTTAATTTGAAACTGTCAAGTCAATTTAGTAAAGTTTTAACAACCAACATTATGATCCTAAGAAGTATCAGCATGTTGAATAACATTATGTCAGTCTGTACCCTCCTCATGCCTTCAAAGAAAGCCAAAGAACCAAAAAATTTCTGGAAAGAGTATAATAGCTCATTATGGTATGTTCAAATTGCTAATTCTTCCAATAAGAATATACTCAAATATCCTTTCAGACATGGGTAATTAAATTAAAAACACTTTTCTTTCATTTTATAGAAAATTATAAAAATGATCACTTAACTTCTAATAGCAAGTCATTTTAAAAGCAAAACTATAGATACATTCTTTATACCTTACAACACTGGACATAAATTTCAGCTCAGCAAAATGATCTTTCCCAAACTCACTTTCTTCTTAGCTAAAAATGCACTGTCTTAAAGTACGAAAATAATCAGATACAATGATTCTGTAACAAATTACTATAAGCAGTACCTAAATAGACGTTACCTAAGCAGGAAAGTAAATACTGCTAACTGGAACTCTCAAATTTTCTGTGATATGGTAATTTTCATTACATGTAGTTGTAAAGTGGGTGTGGTAGGCATGCCTACAAATTACCTTACTTTTCAAAATCTATAAAGATTGACCAGTATTTATTTTGTCCCTAACTTCACTGAAAATAACCTACAAATTTTCCTTAGCGAAATTCTTTCCAAATTGGGACCCACATCTGTGGATAAGTGAAAAGAAATAACATTATGAAGAAATATATTTACTCTAATATTACAATTTAAGTTTAGCTTAAATAATTAAAAATTTTATATTATCTTATTTTTAGCTTGCACTGAATACCAAACGAAGCCACTGGGACAGGGCTGGGGGAGGGTATCTGTGAAATAGCTCAAATTCAAATATGTCAGTCATGGCAAAAATAAATTAAAATAAAGCACAAATCCAGTAAATATTTTCCCTTTCAACTGAAGAAAGCAACTTTCATAAGAATTCCTCAGACACCAGGAGTCATGGGGAGAGGAAAGGCTCTCAGATACGGGAAGCCTTAGATCCTACTGGATTCAGACAAACTCCACGCGTCACACCCGAAGTAAGAAGCGGCTCCTGGGGACTGCTGGCAGACTCCTCGTTAGCAGAAGCAGCAATGCGCAGGCTCAGCTCCAAAACAAGCTTTGCCAAATCAGCAACAGGCAGCATGACCTCTGTGTGCCTGCTGGACCTGAGAAATACTCCCACCTCTACAAATGTAAAAGCAATTTTACAAGAAATTTCAAGTTTGAGCGACTGATGATTATCTGTTACTGTACCAATGCTACACAATTTTAATTGAATCTTTATGTTATATTTTAATATCTGGCATGTGAGACTTTCTTGTTCTTCCTCTTCCTCTATACTCCCCTCTCTCCTTCAGTTTCATCTTTTGGTAAAAATTTCCAGGCTATTTTTGCCTGCTTTATTCTTCTATATCTATTTCAGAATCATTGTGTTAATAAGCACATTCCCTGTGAGATTTGATTCTAATGAAATTAGATTTATTTTTTAAATAAAAATACAAAAACCAGGTATCTTTAAATCATTTCCATTGAGAAATATGGTATAACTTTCCAGTTTTTAAAGCTTCACCTTGCCATAAAGATTTATGGTTTTCTTTATAGAAGTCCTGAAATTTCTTAAGAGTTTTTGACGCTACAGTACATGTCTTCCCCTCCACCCCATTATATTTAGACAGTAAAAGGTTTCCCCAACTTTTCTTCATACCTGCAATCTCACTAAACTCTGAATCTTACTAAACTCTAAACTTACTGAAACTCCTATTAGTTTTACTGGTTCACATGTCTCATGGGTTTACTAGGTAGATAATATCATCTGTAAATGATTGTATTTATTGCCAGCATAACTTCTAACACTAAGAAAGAACAGATTCTTGTGGGTTCTTCCTAGAATCAACTCCAGTCATCAGTTTACTCTATTTTTCATTTAAAAAAATCCATTACTTTCTGATGACACAACTGTACAAATAATGTTATGTTCTAAATTCAATATATTTCAGAAATGGCTTTTGATGTCTGTTGGATAACTAGGAGGTACAACCCCTAACCAGGGTACAGATCTAATGCTGAAAAACATAATTTCTGTTAAATATTTTAGAAGAATGAATAGATAAAGCCCTTTTAAAATGTCCTTGGAGAAATAAGATAAAACTTACCCTAAGTGACGAAATATCAGAAAGATAAATGCCCATCCCCAGAAAGTACAGTGTGACATATGGACAGAAATGTTTCTAAATAGAGTATTTTTCAACATTTTCTAAGAGCACTAAGCTGCTCTTAAAGAACTCTTAGCTTATTGCTTTGGAGAATTAAGATAAAGTTAGTGATGATCATAACTTTCTATTAAGCAATTTTCTTCTCAATTGTGCACCGCCACTTATGAGGCAGAACATCACAGCTCAATCAAAACTTATTATGCTGGATTTAGTTCAAACCCTTATGAAACGCACTGAGAAAGACTTGATATTGTCTGGAGAAAACCTCTTCATAAATTGCTCTTTTGTAGACTAGAAATAAAATAGATACTGTAGGTACCTTTTTGATGTGTCCTTAAGTTCTTCAGCCAGGTATCCAGAGTGTTGCAATGAACTTGCTGCTCGTTACGTAACAGCAAGCCGTGAGAATGTGGAGAAGTCCAGCGCCTCTGTGCGGATCTTCCAGAATTTTCAGGGTGTGGCTTAAGGACATGGAAACTTCTGTTTGTATTCCATCATTAACAAGTTTCGTTGTGCAAGGTGCTAGTGCATTTTGCCCAGCCAGGTACATGACTTCTCCAACCTAAAACAAGAAAAGAAAATTAAAGTCTGACATAAGAAAATATACTTCTCTCCTCATTCAACTTACTCAACTGGGAAGAAGGAGATAAAATACCTACCTTGGTGTATTATTCTGAGGATTGGAAGTAATGTATGTAAGATATTGATTTTATAGAGTTTAGGCACAAAGCAACAATCAATATATGGTAGCCATTTTTAATATTTCTGAACTAAGACTTCGAACCAAATAAAGGTGCAGCTCTGAATATTTAATCACTGTATTAATTTTACAGGGTGAAATTAATACAAGTATATGTGATTAACACTTTTATAATATCATATGTCTTCATTCATTGGATGCAGATATCACTAGGACATTGTTTATTCTTGAGAAACATTTGAAATTAGATAAGGAGGAAGACTGTGTTTTAAGGCTGTGTGTCTCTCAAGGGCGGCACTGTGGTTCAGGGGGATGAGGGACTGGGGTGTTTGTGTCCTGAAAGAAGGTTTTCAATATGTGTATATAAAGTTGCAATGGATTTATTTGCACCTTACCATTTCAGAGACTAGAGACAGGATTTTTGGCTCCTAACAGTTGATAGATCACATTTTTCTGCAAATCACCCTCTATAATTGGACATGAATTATCTGAGACCTTTTTACAAAGCATCTGCTTTCTTTTCTGTCATCTACTAGATCTTGCTCCAAAAGAGCAAGGAGGATAATAAAGTCTCTTCACTCTCTGATTTTCTTAAAAATTCAGTGAATTTTTTTCACTACTGGAAAAAAAGTAAACATATGAAGTGTTCAGTATATATAGATGCCAAATACAGAGTGGTGGTGAGTAAAAACTTTCTTTTCTTCTCCATTCCTGAGGTGTGTAAATTCTTTAATAGAGACTTTGCTGAACTTTTATCATAACTAAAAATTCCTCAGTATTAAAGCTCAGTGAAAAGAAATCTCAGTGCCTGGAAGACAAGGCAATCAAACCATGTGACAGTCCCATATGCAACTCCAAATCTGTCCTCATAACTGTCTGTAGAGCTCACAAAAGAGTCACACATGTAGCTATTGGAAGAATATCTTACACAATTTGGCACACAAGTTCTAAGATTAGCAGCTGAAGAGGGGGAGGAGGAAGAGATGAACATAATAGATTAACTGACACCCATCCACTATCTTTCTAAATTGTTTGGAATGTTAAAAATATTGTTTTGATCAATCTATATATACACCCTCAGATTTGAAAGAGAAATGCAAAGCATGTTGTGGTTGAAAGAACAAATGGTTTTTTTTTTAAAAAAAATAAACCACTATGAAATATATGTCACTGAACAAGGGAGTCCAGCCAGCTCCCAAGTGGCATGTTAACATGATGAAAAGCAAATCCAGGATGCTGTGAATCAAAGAGGCATGGGTCTATTTTTAAAGAGGACTGTGTCTCCCCACCCTGTTTGCCAAGTATAGTTTTTCCAGAAAAGTCCAGCCTCCAAAATAGGTAAGCTTCTAAATGCTCTAGGAGTTATCTATGCAACATTTGACTGCCTCCTCCCTTAAAAGGTCTTTGGCTCCACATACATCACCCATGTTAATCACTAGACAAACAGAAGAGCTGTTCAACTAGTTCACTTCCCCTATTTGTGAACAGATTGTTTGAGACATAATATGAATACTAATTAATGATAAAATATCTGTGAGTGTTTTGAAATATGGACGAAGATAGCACTTTTAGAAAGGCGCCCAGATAGATCTTATGCAACAAGCCCCACTGGTCATGAGGGGTCAGGGCATAACTAAGAGATATGAAGGCAAAATTGGCAGAGTTTCTGGCCCCAATTCAGTGGGAAACTGTGGACAATTTTTGCAGCATCGGGGTGGAGGTTGACTTTCTTTTTAACCTTTTTCCTCTATTACACTGGAAGAATTTAAAATGAAAACTCTCTTCACAGACGTCATGGACAGAAAAACAGAATTTTGTGAGAGGTCCACTTGAGTAGATGGAGGAATGAGACTCCTACATGTTGGATCAGGATTGTGGGTCTCTGCTTTGTGGCAGAGGAAGTGCAAGCAGGTAGGGTCTGACCCAGGGCTGAGTGCCCTAGGCTGACTCATCCTCTCTGTGGGAAGGGCTGAGGAAAGTCATTTAAAAGAATATGATCCCTCTTCATTTCAATCCCTGTTCTACAAACAGTTTGCTTAATCTCAGAGAAGCGTACCCATAGAGATATGGGAAATATAATTTTATGTGAAAGGGCAAAGTATATTATTATATTCAATTACAAAGATAATGAAAATAATAGCCTTTGTAGCAAGAGCCTAGGCTACTGCCAAAATATGTTACCATCCTCCCTTTCCTTCTAAAATTGAATATTGTATTTTCTCCTTAAAACCTTTCTAAACTTGCCCCATCTGGTCTCAGAAATGTTATCCTCTAACACCAGTCTTTGCATTCTCCTCTAATCTTGATACCTGATATCAATGCTTAGATGGTGTTTTATAATCTTTGGAGTTCAGTAATTGCAATTTGTTCTAATGCCAAAGAAAAGAGAAGAGGATTATCCAAAGTGAAACATAACAAAATAATTCATATTTGACCACAGACTTATTTTCTAATTGAATTTTAACAATGGCGTATAAAGTATTAGAAAAAGTCATTTGTCTCACTCAAAGAAATAAAAATGTTTCATGAAAATCTGATTGGGAAAGAATTAAAGTTGGCCACAGTAAGTATTTCACGTTCAGCTAGTCCTTATCCATCTGAGGATTAGATCTGGGATTCCTATACTTTGCTGGAATTAGATGATTCTTTCTAAGACTGATTCAAGGTTTGCCATGTCCCAGACATTCTTGGGGACTTGAGAAATGATCAATTATTTGCATTTTGAAGGTTTTCTTTGCATTCAACTAAATCTAGAAAAAAGGTATCAACAAATTTGAAATTATCAACTGAGATGCTGTTAATAGTAGTTGCCTAAAGTGACAGTAAAGTAAGTCCATAAAATAAAAAAGGAAGAAGCATAATAAAGACAATTCATCATAGATATGAATTTTGCAATACTGTACCGTTTTATGCTTATTTACATCTATTCGTATTTCTCATTATATGTATTCATTTTTCCCCCACCTCCCCAATAAACTTGTTGTTAGTGTTTGAAGGCTACAGCAAGGTTTCTCCTAAATATTTAGAAAGAAAGAAGTAGAATGCCTTCTGAGTTAACTGGACAAGTACATACAATGCCCTTGAGCAGTTTTTTTCTTCCCGATTGGTTGTTAGGGTTGGCCTGACCCCTTGAATTGATGCATAATATTTTACAGTGGTTCTCACTTCCCTAAAGCAATCTCATCTGGACCTTCTCACCTGGCCCACCCTTTACATCACACAAAGCATCTACCCCTACATCCAGACCCTGTGCCTAAGATCCAAACCCAGGGAGAGACCTAGATGGTGAGACAGACAATAAAGAAGACAGAGGTTATGTCATCTAATTATTCTGTGTGGTGCAAGCATCCTCATGTTGAGGTTCTGTTGTCCAGCACATACTAGAGGTGGTGGTGGTGTCCTCAGAAATGACAGCTAGTATACTGATTTATAGAGAGCTTCTCTGGATCTACCAAGAGCATTTAAAGTGCTGTTAGAACTTTTGAGTTGGTTGAGTTTCTACTTTCTAAATATCAGAGTGTAATAGAAGTTAAAAGATTTTTCTAAATAAACTTGACATACAGAATCATTAGGAGCACAGTGTGTACGATTTTGACCCTTCTTATGTTCTTCTGTTGCTCAGGCCCAAAACCTTGGAATCTTCCTTGATTCCTTTCTTTTTTTTGACTCCTGACTTGTTTTTCTACTTTATTTTATTTTATTGTTAGTTGCACTTATTAACATACACAATAGAAAGTTATTTTTAAAATTTTATTTATTAAAATATATATTTTTGTATGTGTGGGGGAGGTAACTGTATTTATTTTTTAATGGAGGTACTGGGGATTGAAACCAGGACCTTGTGCATGCTGAGCACCCCTCCTCTCACTTTCTATCTGCTATGGTTTTCGAGAGGAAAATAGATGATGTAGGTAATGTATAGTAACTGTTAATTTAACCACACGATACCACAGACAAAGCATGTGTTTTGACAGTATATGGATTTGTTTTCTGTATATACTTGTAGCTTAATTACTGAAGAATTACCGTAATTACTACCACAGCAATTTTTTCCTTTAACTTAGGCCTTCATTCTGTCCTCATAGTCAGTGCTGTTGGTTTAGCCATATGGATGAATTATAATTTATTCCTACAATAGTCTGAGAAAGTATTAATAATTTAATACTAGTGAAAAGTTTGATTTAATGAGTTCTTAAGCCATAGCAATTTACTATTCTATCAAGGTTTACATTTACATGTGGCATAAAGCTAATTATGGTCATTCATTTATTTATCCAGTAAATTTTTACTGAAGCTCATATGTGCCAAGCACTGCTTGTTGGGGATAAAATACAAATATATCATCCTACTCTGAAGGAGTCATAGTCTAGTGGGAAGATGGTCCTGCCATCAGAGGGCCATTGAGTCACTTGGAAGACCCGTAAAAATGTGTTACAGCAGTTTAATCAAGACACAAGTTTCTGAACTGAGGCAGTGGCAGTGGGTTGCAGTGAAGAGTGCTTATTACCTATGGATGATATTCAGGAACTAGAACTGATAGGATGTGATGCTTGATGGGACCCGAATTTGAAGAGGGCAGAGAGTAAAGGGAAGAATTAGGCTGACTCATGGGTTTCTAGCTTGGTCTGTAGGAGTAAGTTGTAAAAGTGTTGCCATAGACAAAATTAAAATCTAACTCATGGAATCATCAGTGATATCTGAATCAGTAGTAGAAGAATCTGAGGATAACGATGGTAAGTTTAGGTAGAAAAAAGTTAAATAGAAAAAATAAAATAAAATGCTAACAAATGCAACCAGTTATATCACCACTATATAGTGATTTATGATGAGAAAAATGACTGGAACTATATAGGCAGAAATTT